GTAATAATAGCAATAATAATAATAATAATAATAATAATAATAACAATAATAATAATAATACGAGTTGTATTTTTTTTATCAACAATATGAAACTCTAAAATTAAACTAAAGATTAAATTAAAATAATATTAATATTAAATAATATTAAAAGCTTAGAAATCAGTCGAGACCGACTTCCAGACTTTCCACAGGTAAACTGAAAGGAAAATTCAAAAAGGATTCCTATATTCTTCTTGTTTTTTCTTTCTTAACATAAATTTTCAATTTACAAGGCTGATATTATATTGTACATCTTATATCTCTATTCTTACAATTACACGCGATAAGTCTAAAAATAATTATCGTTCGTCTTTAATCTTTCAATCTCAATGGTATACAAAGTATCTTGGAATTTCAAGATTCGCGTTTTATAATTGTTTCGATTGAACAAGGAATTATTGCTCTTACTCGTTGTTGAAGCATACATTTTTTCGGAAAATTTCAATTTATACGTAGGTATTTTTTTTATTGCGAAAAATTTTATCGTTAATAATAATTAACAATATATCTTTACCAAGAGATATACGTGTAAAAATATATATGATAAAAATTTTGATTTATAAAGAAAGATATCCAATAATAATGGGAACTTTACATGTATAATTTAAAATCCATGATTGGAATAAGGGAATAATCGATAAATTTGTAAAAAAAAAAAAAAAAAAAAAAAAAAAAATATTTTCAATCTTTATCATTTTAAAACTACAATATAGACGTTAGTAATATAGAAAGAAAATTAAGGAATTAAAAAGTTATGTTTAATTTTATCGTTATTCTTAATTAACTAATAAGTTATGTCGTTAAACAGTTATATTAATAAGATTTAATAAGATTTTTCTCCGATTATAAGAAATACTAGAATAATAACTTATAATATTATTATTGAGTCAATTAGCAAATTGTTAGCGATAACACAAAAATTTCGTAAAAATGATATTACAATAATTATAATAATTCATTACTTATTCTTATTCTAATCTATCCTTCAACGACGAGCAGACGCAACTTAAGACTCTTACAACTCTCCACTAGATTAAAATTTATCTATCTATCTATCTATCTATCTATCTATCTATCTATCTATCATCGCGCTCCCCTTTACCAATCGAAATTTTTCTCTCATCGAACTCCTCTCTCGACGATATAGCTCTCGAATATAGATTCAAACAACCTTTAACAATCAAGACGAAACTTCTCGCGGCATCTTTTCTCTCGTCGATCGAATTTAAGTATCGAAAAAGTGTCGGAAAAAACGTCGCCTTCGAGTCGCGTCCTAGAAAGATCAACGGATAAAACGGAACAACATCGATTCTACGCCTCCTCCTCGATCCTCTCCTCGTTCTCGCGCGCGTTTATCTCCTGCACGTAGCCTTCGGTGAACTCTTTCACGATGTCCGCGATCGGCATTACGGGTAACGGCGGATGAGGGCCGGGATGCGTTTTCCTGTGACAGATCAGGCCTGGCTTCTGCGTGAACGCCTTGCCGCATATATCGCAGACGAACGGCCTCTTCCCTGTGTGGATGAGCAAATGTTGACGCAACTGAGACCTCCTCGCGAACGGTTTGTTGCATATCAGGCAGGAGTGTGGCTTGCACCCCGTGTGCACCGCCATGTGCCTCTTGAACGAGTCCTTCTTGGTGAACGTCTTGCCGCATTCGGCGCAGACGATCTTCTCCCTTTTCTCGTGTTGCGTCAACAGATGTTGATCGAGATTCTCCTGCGTCACCATACGCCTCTTGCATATGTGACACTCGTACTTGGGCTTGTAATGCGCCCATTTCTGGTGCACGTAAAGGGAGCCGCTGTTCTGGCACAGTTTACCGCACACGTCGCAATTGATCGGCTTCTCCTTGTGATGAAATCGTACGTGATTGGTCAGGTCGCCCTTCACCTTGAACTTCTTCGGGCAAAACTTGCACTGGTGCTCGTAACGATCGGTGTGCTTCCTTATGAAGTGCGACTGCAACGAGTGCTTCGATCTGCAGACAAAGCCGCATGCGGCGCACGGGAACAACATGTTGTTGGGCCGCTTCCTCGACCACGTCTCGTGCTTCCTCTCCAAGTGTGCCGCGAACAGGCTCTTCTTCAGCGTCCTGTAATCGCACACAGCGCATATGTACGCGCCATCCTCCTGTATGCACACCTTCTTCTTGTGAGTCCACGCCACGTGTTTCCTGAACGAGATCGCCGAGCTGAACATCTCCGAGCACACTTTGCACTTGAGGGCGCTGCCCGCCCCCCTGGACACCTTCCTGCGCGTCTTCGTAGGGGTCACGTGGTTATTCGCCGACTCCAACATCTCCTCCTCCAAATATTCTATCTGCTCTATCTGATCCTGATCCCCCTGCTCCACCTGCTCCACCTGCTCCAACACCTGCTCCTGATCGTTGTACGCCTCTTGCTCCTCCTCCTGCTCCTCCTGCTGATACTCGACCACCTCCTTCGCCTCCTCCACGTCGCTCGACGTCAACTTCTCTATCGTCACCATGCTACCTTGAACCTTCACCTGATAAAGATCACCGATCGCCTTGTCGTTCTCGTTCCCCTCGATCCCACCGTTTAATATTATCGGTTTCACGTCGTCCTCCTCCTTCAGCTCCCCGCTTCTGTTCAATAGATCATCCTCCTCGTACAATTTCTCGTCCGTCGAATCGTATTGCAACTCTTCCTCGTCGTACAAACACTCCACCTTCACGAGATCCTGCTTCTCCTCCTCGTTCCCAGCCTCGTCCACTTGCTCGGGTATATCCTCCTCTGCCAACGGCGTGTCGCCTTCAGGTACAAACGCGTAGTACGGTTTCCCATCGAATTCCAGGATCTGCCATTTTTTCATCACCACCGACTCCTTGTCGTAGATAAAGATACCGCGCGAGTTGAGGGTGTCGAGCTCGAACCTGAAACATCATCGATCACCTGCGTTATTAACGGGTTACCCTTGCTCGCTTCTTGTCGATCTGCAAGCTCTCAAAAAAAGCGTTTCGCTCGGTCATTCTCTTTTCAACGGGTGATTAAATTGACGCCGTCAAAATGTTTCTCGCGCGAGATCGCGGAGAGATTGTTGTTAACCGGCAGCTTGTTAGCACACAGGGGTGTGAAGAGAAGGGAGTTAGCGCAGATTGCTCACGATTACGATTATAGTAAAAAGAGTAAAAAGAGATTGTTGCAGAGTTGTTTCGCTCAGAATGTTACTCGAAGAGTTAGTCGCGAAGAGAGCGAGAGATTAGGGTGAAGCACAAGTGCGAGAGAAATAATATATAATTTTGTCGTCGTAGATCGAAAATCGTGTCGTGGGTGAGAAAAAAAATTATACTTTATTGTTTGTTACGCGAGGAAAATTTTTACAGAAAGTCCGTCCATGTAAAAAAAAAATTACGATAAAAGATTATCATTGGTTATTTTATGTAGAAACAGTAGGGAATTAATGTAGTCTTAAATCTAGTAGCAATAGCGGCTTAAATCTAATACATTTAATTTTTCTCTCTTATTGTTCTCTAAGAACAATCAATATAACCCAAAAGATCTTAATAACAATTTTTAGAAAACTTTGATAAATTCTTTTTTGCATAAATCTTTCAAGTTTCATTCCATACATTTAAAGAAAAGATTGGAAAAAATATTGCTTTGGATCAGTCTTCAGAAAATTTTTCAAGATTGATCGAAGATAGCTCGCGATACTAATCTTATAATGATAAGGAAAAAAAAAAAAAAAAAAAAAAAAAAAAAAAAAAA